GGAACGCTTGCAAAATAGACTGCAACAGCACTTCTCCTCTCATTGCCACAAAAGGTAAAGTAATAAAAAGGCACTTGCATAGAAGAATAGGGCATCACCTAGAAAGCACGTCTGTACACCAAATCTCATTACTAGCTCATGGAGTCAGGCACATGTTTCACTGTCACTAATGTGAAACACCTTCTTAAAATGGTACCTTGGGGACTGATCCACAGCCCCCAGTAATTCACCAAATGGTTTCCATCCATTTCACAGAGTTTTGAGTCAGGTCTGAGGGTGGCAAATAGGATACCGAAGGAAGAAAGTCTAAGGAGAATGAAGAACAAGAAAGGAGCTGGTGTGACAGGTGCTGTAATAAAATACAAATACAATATTTTACAAAATAGAATACTTGCAGGAAATATCTACTGTACATAGTAAAAAATTACTTGCAAGGCTAAGTTAGTTTTTCCCTTATTTATCATTAGGAAAAAAATAAAAGAAAAAAGAGCTTCAAAATTCTTTATTCTTTTTTTTAAAATTGACTTCTGGTAAACTTAAAGTAGCTATGCTAGCCTGCTGAATTAGGATTTTCACATTAAATCCATCCTCATGGTGTCTGAGTGCCCTTCTGTAGTAACCAGATAAAACCCTGCTCAAATCCTGGGGTACGTTTGACTGTGCCACTGCCAAGGACAAACTGCAAGACACGCAGCTCAGGCAAAGGAATGACCAGGATACTGAGAGACGGAGAACACTTAAAGGCAACAGCTACATGGGACAAGGAGGAACCAAAGCAGGGAGAAGAGTACCGGACCAGGATCAGACCTGAATACTGCTCTTGGCTTTGCCACTGAACCTGGGCCAGTCACTTCACCTCCCTACGTGCCCATCTCATCCCTCTTTTTCCCCATCTCCTGCCTACATACTCAGCTCCTCAGGTCAGAGGCTGTCTTGCCATACAGTTCATACAGCATCTACCTCCTCCAGGTGTGAACTGTGCCTAGCTGGGGCTACCTATACCCCTATCTTTTTGGCTAAGCAGTTGGTCTAAGATCACATCTCTGGAAAAAGAGCTAAGAGAAAGATAAGACACACAGCTCTCTTTTAGGGCAATTCGAGTCTGGGGGAGGTAATGGGTGTTCAGTGACATTTGCGTGTCTGATTTCAGAGTTTGCCCAGACCACTTGCAGGGTTAGGGAAGCTCAGTTCTCTTCATTGCGACTGCCTGAACAAAATTTTGCAAAGCTAATAAATACTATTTACAACAGTAACAGGAAGATAGCAAGGAAAGGAAAACACAGGACAATCTGAGACCAGGTCTACATAAGAAATTCCATCAACGCATCCAGAAGCCAATAAATTAAATCCATATGGTCCTCTCAGGAGGCACTTCTGGTTTAAGCCTTACATCGATTTAGTTTGTTGGGAAGGAACTGATTTAAGCTAAATAGATTAGCCTCAAGCAGACTAAAGGACATCCATCCAAAACATTGCATAAATTTAACAAAACCTGCTTTCTAAACAGATTTAGTTAAACTAGTGTAATTCTCCCACAGAAAGTATGACAAGACAGCGACTGATCTTTGCTTGAATTCCACAAGGGTGGAAGCAGCAGGGAAGCCTACCAGGATTGCCTTCAACCCAGAGAGAAACCTACACCACTAAATGATAAAGAGGCTGGAGGGGAGAAGAGAAAGAGCTAGCGGAGGACAACTCAGTAGCATTACTGCCCACCTCTCTCCTGCCTGTGCCCTTAACTCAGCAGTATGAGGACCCTTTCTTGTCCCTTCAGAAGCAGGCTACACACATGCTTCTCAATCCCCCCAAAAGGCTCAAGTGCTGTAGACCAGTAGGCATGGAACTGTGGCTAGACTCTGAGCAGCATCACGCTGCATCTTCTCTTTCTCTCAATTACCTTCTCCCAAGAATCCTATCACCCACATGCTCCCATCGGTTTTGCATATTTCACTCTTCTACAGAATGTCTTTGTGCTCAGATTAGGACGTGCGCACGCACACACACACCCACCAGTCACCGGCACACTGCTGGCATCATCTGCCATCATAATTCAATCCTGTCCTTGCAGTATCAGACAGGAAAGGAATAAAAGCAAAGACAAGGACTGTGTGTGAAGTGAGGAAGGGAGTTACAAAGACAAGAGATCCCATCTGCAGTCACAGCCTCGCCAGTCAATGCAGAAGTTGAACTCCCTCTCTTTTGTGCTTTGGTTCGCTGAGGATGACAAGTCAGGGGGACTTTGGTTGAAAATATGTGGGAAAGAGGGAAGTCAAGAAGAAAAGCCTTTTTTTATTTTTAAGAGGTGGCGTTGACTCTTCTATCTATTTCAATTATCTTCAGTGTTTCATTTCCTTCTAGTTCGGAGTTGACTCTGCAGGGAACAAAAAACCCAAAACAACAAAGGTTAACGCGAATAGTTAGTCATTTTTTGAAGTGTGTATCCTGCTTGAGTTGGCTAATGCTAAAAAGACACTCAGTATTTACCAGGTACTTGTCAGTTGGAGTATGGTAACACTGAATTAGTCATCTCTTTGGCTCTAGCTATAACTTCGACACAAGAGCTCAGAAGGCATGCTTGGGGTGATATGGCTCATCCCAGCCCTCAGAATAGCATGCTTCCTTCCAGACAGAATCCACCTCCACTGTTTAGTGTGCTTGCTACTGCTTGTTAGCAGAGATCAAGACCTTGGCCAACAGGACAGTGGCAGGACAAAAAAAAGTAGAGTGGAAAGAAAACTGCACGCATATATTTAAACCAGTGAATCTCTCTCTTTGCAGAGGCCCCAAAAATTTAGATTTTAAAAAAAAGTATAAAAAAAAGTATGAAGGAGCTCTGTGGTAAGTAGTTCAGATAACTTTACAGGTCTGTCTCTCAATCTTGAGTCCTGCAAACTTTCCACAGTAATGCTTTAGTAAGATCACTGCTGTGAGAAGCTCCAGCTCTTCACACCCTAACCTCACAGAAAGCCCAGTGAGTCACAGCCTCACACTTCCACCCAACTGGCAAAAGCTTATTCCTTTAGGAGACACAGAAGTACGTGCTTAAAGAAACGGGCAGGCTCAACTAAGAGGCTTACAGGGGTTAGGTTTCTGGCAGAAGCGCTGAGTTTGGTAGCTACAATGTTGTTGCAACCACTTCTTCAGAGTAACAACAACTTTGCCTATAAGCTCTCCAGATAGAGACCAAACCCTTACTTCAGGTTTCACGGTGCCCAGCATAGCTGAGCCCCTAGTCTTACTGTTGGCCTCCAGGCACAAATGACAGTGACGCTGAACACTCGTAGGACAAGCAGCCCACCCTGCACTCACCTGTGCTGCTGCAGGCCCAGCAGCACCGATTTCTCTAGCCTTGTCTCGTTGGCTATTGTGAACTGCATGATATCATCCTGCTGTGTCCCCGGCATGGCTTCCAGGGACAGTGCTGTGTACTTGGAGGTGTCTGTTTGCCTGTCACTGCGATCTGCAAAGGAGATCGGGCTTGACGACTCCTCCAGTTGGTGTGGCTCTTCATAAATTAGCAGACTCCTTGACCTCACTGCGTACAAAGACAGAGAGCAAAACCAGATGAGAAACAGGCAGCTCAGAGAAAAGCCCTGGTCATTTCAGGAATTGGAAACCATCAAGAGTAGAACTAAAGCTGCAAAGGCCTTTTCATAGTGATTAACTGCTAATTTGATAGCTGAGGAAAGATACCACAGCAATGGTCCAGGTAGGGATCAAACAGCTTTGAATTATTCACAAAACAAGAACAAAATGAAACAATCACTTTGATAATATTCGTTGAAAGCAACTGGTTCATTACAGGTATATAATACTAACAGCTTCCCTCTCAGTCCTTGGCCTCCTTGTTGATACTGGCAAAGGACACACCAGCTGGTATCAGTTGTACGTTTTAACAGTATGAATATTTCCTACCGAGTAGAAATCCTGCTACCTTTTACAGACCACTAGCTTTAGTTCCACAAACAGAAACAAAACTGCTCTAAACTGAAGTACCAAGCAGGTTAGTGGGGGAAGGCTTTGTCCATGTCTATGCCCATGTCTTCTGCCAGCAGAACAGCTTGCCAAGCTATCCTTTGAAAGACATGGGTATATCAAGGAACGGCCCACTAGGAAGCAGAAAAGCAAGAGATGCTTGAGGAGGGGGTTAGGGATGGGGGTGGAAAACAAGTGCTGAAGCACAACCTAGCAGGGAGCAAGACTGGGATAGTTGTCACTTACCTATGGAGTCTGTGTAGGACTCTGGAGAGGAATGCTGCCTGGGCAACACCATCTTTGTAGCAGAAGGATATGGCCCGTAGCTCTGAGAGAAGCTGCCAAAAACTACTGCAAAGCACAGCACCACCATCTGGCAAAGGGAGGATGCAGAACAGGTAAGTGCACTCGCTCTTCACCCACATACACACATCAAAACCAAGAATCAACACAGCGCAGATCTGATACTTTTTCAAAACAAATCATTTGAGGCTATTTTCACCACTACATACAGTTTCTCTTTGCAAAGGCACATATACAATAACATTGCAGTGTTTTAAAAGGCAGATTTCAGTGCTGGAGTTTGTTTTCAATGTCTGCCACCATTTTGGCCTGTTGCCTGACTTACTCCCAAAGTTGAAAAGCACACACAGCCACCATGTCTGTTTAACAGATACTGTCAGGAATTTCCAAGGTTATTTCTGCTGCTGGTCCCAGTCTTGCTTCGAAGTGACAGAGAGGCTGACAGACTAGGAGAACAGCTTAGGCCTTGAAAACAATTTCCATCAATTTATAGCACTAGTATAAAGGGAACTTGCTGGCTGAGTGTAAGAACGGAAAAGGGAAAAGTTTCATTCTAATCCTTTTCTTATCCTGACTACTATTACTGAAATAGGACAGAGGCAGATGTACAGCCTTAGTCATATTTTTATTTGGATGAGCAAGTTTATTTTTACTGGCATCAAAAGAACCAAGCATCGAAGTTCACCCTCATTTTCATTTTACAATCCTAGACACCATTTCTCACATACAATATTGTAGGAAATAATAAAACAGGTCACTTAAGAGGAGCAGTGCTCCTTCTGTCATCACTACAGCACCCAATCAAAACCACAGGCCCAGTCTCCTCCAGAATTTAATGCCTTCCCACAACTATTAATCTTCATTAATGGAGTCTCGCCTACCTCAAAATTAATTGTCAAATTACGATGAGAAGTTTCCCAGGATGAGAATTTGCAAGTGAGGGGCTTTGCAGAACAAGGGATGTGCCTTTAAGCAGTGGAAAAAGATTCCCATTCTCCTGCAATTCACAGCTTTACAGACACTCACCATAAGACAGGTCCCTGTCTGTGTGCTAGCTGCCTTACATGAACGGGACACTTTCCCAGCAACCATGGCTTGGAGTCTCTGCAACTGCTGCAGAAGTGTTCTGGAAAGCAAAGACAACAGAGAAGCATCAAATGCACTGATGTACTTGCTGGTTAAACAGATTTTTGTTTCAAATTCCATACCTGGCACTAATACATTAAGTCCTCCCCTTGAAGTTAGTAGCAAGGAATGTTTTCAGTTTTACAAGATTTTTACATGTATGAGCACTGGACCTTTCAAAAAGATCTTTTTGCCTTTCTCCCAGCTGACGTCCCTGAACAATCACTTCTTCAGCACTTTCAGAAGGCCTTTATAAATAGAAGCTGTATTTTTGGTGCTTCTACACGTAACTAATCTAGTAGGCATATGAAAAACTGAAACCACTCTTTATACAAGTAACTAGATGCATATACGACCTGGTTCTATGTCATAAACTCAGCAGGAGTTTTGCCAATATCTGAAAAGGTGCAGTAGCAAGTTTATAACTGCTCTAATTGGTGATACAGGTGTATAGCTACCTCTTTTGTCTGAAAGCCTGCTGCACAGTGGTCTGGACCACATGCTGGACCACTTTCAAAGAGAAGGTCTTAAAGCCAGACATGGGCACCAACTCCATTTCTCAAATTCATTTATTAAATAAAGCATTTTACTGCTATTTTCAAAATCCTCCAGGAGTTGACAAAAATCACAGATGCTTGAAGTGACTATTCTGCCTGTCCTTCGGAGGTCGCAACCACAATGGCGGTTCTTTTGTGGCTGGCTGGAGTAAACAGCCCCAGATCGGGAAGACATTCTTCTGTCTGCCTGTTTTAATTCTGCTGTATCATCATCAATTACTAAAGTCATTTAAATGGGAAATGATCTCAAAGAACGATTGATACAGCGTTTTCACAGCAGTTTTCATTTTGTTTTCGTTAAAGCCTTTTAAAGGACAAGAAATAACCCAAATGCCTTTCCTCGCCACAGTCAAATATAGCACAATTTTGCATCAAGATGTTAACTTTGCTGTTTTCTTTCCATTTTCACTTTTTACTTCCACTGTAGGTCTTGCAACCTACTGCAGAGGGTAACCCCCACAGAACTCCAGGCAACAGCTTTGAAAGCTGTGACGTCAAATGGTAAAGCAAGAGGCAAGGTCAGGATGTCAGAGAAAATAGAAGGATTATTTTAAGATCAAACTGGCTAAAAGCTAATTGTAGGACAGACCCAGAGGTGCCTTCACAGCTCAATATACACTTGTCTGCCTATTATTATAGGGATTTTTAATCATCAATGCTCACTGCTAATTAGGGTTTAATGAATTCAAGGACTTCAGGAATGCATTCTGAAATGAGCACAAGGCATGCTCACAGCACAGATTTATCTGGGCCAGCAGATCTTTCTCAACTTATTAAGGAAGGATGTCTTGCATGCTCTTGAGAGCATGGTTTATTCTGCAACTCCATATTTAAAAAAAGAAAGCGATTTGTCTAATTCAGTCCTTTAATCACTATTAGAGAGACCACAAGCAAATTAAGAGATGAAAACACTGTCCATGGTAAATGAGACCATCCTAGTTCCCTGATCCCTTCTGCATCTCTCCCCAGTTCCTCCTCACATCCACTACATGGCACAGGGTTCACAAAGACTTGCGTACATGGTATATATATCATTTTCTGGCACAGAACATGCTGCATACAGTATTCCCACCATATGTCAGCTATGTTATACCGCGATGCCTTTTTAACCCTGCAATTTCCGTGCCGTTATAGAGACTACATCTTTCCCCCATTTCAGGCCTGAATAACTGGGCTCGACCTAGAACAGCTCTGCAGGGTGAGGAGGAAGGAGCTCTCCTCCTCCCCAGGTCGGGGGCTGGCAGCAGCAGCTGCCTTGAAATGCTGATCATTCTTGCCACTTTTTGTGGAGGCGTCAGTGAGAAAACAGCTAATGGCTGGTGAGGAAATCAACAGAGAAGAGGCAGTTCTTGTTTTGCTCACCTCTGCCTTTTTGTGTCCAATTTAAAAAAAAAGGCTGGGCAGAATGGGCCCAGAGAGCTGATTCCAAAACACTCTCTTTTTGTATAATATATAATTAGGCAGGTATGCTGAGGTCTCCTATATACAGAGGAAGATTCATCCTCCACCTTATTTACCAACTTTCTTCATACAAAATGTCTTTCTCCCCTAAGCCATTTATCTGTTTGAGCAGAGCTACTGTCTTCTTGGCAACAGACGAGGACTCAGTGTTGGGAGCTGATAGGCTATAGGTGCATTTTCAAACTAAGAGCAAAAGACGAGGCAAGAGCAAGAAACAAGTTTGTTTGTTCAGAGATGATACCAGTTCACCCTGCCACCACCAGAAGGGGATACTCCTTAGTAATTTTATTCTCTATTTGAACCTGGAATGGTGGAAGACTGGATTCTGAGGCCAAAAGATCTCCTTTCCCACACAAAAGCTGCCATCATTGTTACTGGACAGCTGCAGGGATCATCTGGACTAAGAAAGCGAAAAAGGGGCAACCCTCTGCTCTGCAGAATGGAGACTTACGTTAACCTAAGATGCTCCCTCTAAATAGCAGCAGGAAGGCCACAAATGCTTTTAGTGAAACACGCTGCCTATGGCTAAGTCCTAACAGGAGAAAACGCAATCCCAAGGCAGTGTGCATAAAGGGGTTTGCGCCCACAGGGATTATTTTCACTGTCTGACACATTTCCCAGTGATATTCAATTAGAGGGTCACGTCCGTAGGAGGTGCGAACGTGCTTTCACGCTTTTCTCTGCCAATGGAAGCACCTCATAGGAAAGCTGTAAAGTGACTGAAGACTCCTGCTTTCCCTTCCACACACTGCCAGCAAATTCACTCTGCCTGTGATGTCTTGTTTTCCTGTGCACACTCACATATGCATCTTCAGAAGAGCCCCTTTCACTACCAAAGTAAGGAACAAGTCAAGGCTTCCCCTCTGCTTCCAGTGACACTTTGATTAAAGAGAGAAAATTTGTCACTCCAGCATGTAGCCACCTGGGAGGCTTCCTCAATTCAGTCTTTATGTTTAAAATCTAACATCGATTTAAACAAAAAAAGACAGCTTCCAGGGGACACCAAATACCGTTTATTTTGACCAAGATTTTTCAGAGAATTTATCTACTTTGAGAGGAACAAAACCTAATTTTGATAAGGAGGGAGAAATATTATTCTGTCTTCCAACTCTACACACAGATTCCTCGTCTGCCTGTCCTATTTGTAGGAAAGAAAGCAAATCCCAAAGTAAGGTTTTCACTGAAAGACCAGAATATCTCAAAGCAGAAAAAAATACACAGTTTTTCCTAATTTGAATCACAAAGAAAAAAATCCAGCATCTTTTCATCAGACGTTTCAGCATAAAAAACATTGTCCTGCTGCTTTGAAAACAAGGAGTCATTCCAGGGCTGCCACACTTTGTCAGGTATTATAAGGATGGTCTGAAATGAAGTGCGCAATATCTCATTGTGACTTCAATCCAGATGCTTCACTCCTTGAAAATGACTTGGTAAAATGACTTTACGAGCCTCAAATAAAGGAGCAGCCAAGCAAATCAGTGCAGTCTGGCAGCTTTGGTGCTGATAAACCCTTGGAGGGTCAGACTGTTATGCAACTTGATCTTTAGACGACTGGGAGTTTTAACAATAGCCTGAGCAGGAGCACGAGAGATGGAAGAACATCCCCACTGTATTTATAAAGCCATTGCCTTTAAGGTGCCTGTCAGAGTGGAGATCATTACCTTCATGGGAGCAACTCCAGCAGCTACTTGCATGCACTGTCCACGTATGACACTCTCAATATCACACGACACTAATTGGATCCTATGTCTATCATTTCTCCAAGAAAAGTGATCATGAATTTATTTATAAATAGAGACTCCACAGAAGTGAAAACCAAAAGTACCTCTCATATGTCATACACAGTACCAAATGTTTCAATAGTGTCTTTAAGCCCAAATAGCCATGGGTCCCAGCTAGACAATGCTAGTGTCAGAGACCATATTCAACCCCTAAATCACTGGCAGTTTCTGCCTTCCATCCCAGTGCCAAAATGTGAGTGGATCAAGCCTTCTTGGTGACTGGGACAAGTCAGTTCAACTCTCAGTGTCAGCTTCCTTTGCCTTCCAAGACAGCAGTGCCCCACATGTTCAGATGCTACTCAAACCAATGAGAGCCTGGCTCACTTGTGGCTACAAGACATAACAGATATGCAAGTAATAATGTGCTTCCTTAGTTTTGAGAAAACTGCCTAGAAAGGAACTTGGATGGGTTTCTTTTAAGGGACTGAGTCACATAAATTAGGAGAGGAAACATATGCTAGTGTTCTAATACTAAAGATGTCAAAAATGCTGCAGTCACCCACTCAGGGTAATAAGAATTAAAAACTCCCCTGTATCTTGATCCCCAGCCTCCTGCCTTGCCTTTTAAGATACACGAACGTCAAGGGATATGCTTCTGGACACAAATTTTTTGACCACACTTGCACCTTTTAAGTACACCTTTTCAGATCCAGAATTTCAGCTAAGGCAGGCTCTCAGGGAAGATTCTTCTTTTTTTTTTTTTTTCATGTTTTCATGAGAATAATGTAGGAACACTTTTACCAGAAGAAATTCTAGTGTTTCCATGGTTTGGAGCCAGATTTTGAAATGCAAGCAGGGTTTCCCTGAAGTCTTAGGTATGTATCTGTGCAAATGTGTTCTATATACAGAATAACATGCTCTAAAAAACTGATTGCACATGCTGAAAGGAATGTCTGCTGTTCAATAGTTGCATGTTTTGGAAATTGCCCTTCAGTTCCTCTCAACTCCAGCCAGAGTATGAAAGCATGATACTGACTGACAGCACATACATGTGCATGCACTTTCAGGTACACAGCTATAGCCCAATTTTCCACAAGGTGAAAAAACCAACTTTGTCTTCATCTTCACTTGAATGCATGAACATTTTTACAGGTAATCAGAGCTCTTAATTTCCTGTTATCTTTCTTCCTCTGTTACAATTTTTCACAACAAAAAAACCACCCAGCTCTAATGTTTGTAGATGTACTTTTAGGCAATACCTTCAATGACATCTTAATTTTTTTACTGCACTGAACACTCAAAGTTGCAACTAAAGTAAACTGGGGCTCTGCTTTGGGTGTATTATATAAGATACAAGTCTGTATGACTGTGTGCTAGGTACTTTGAGAAATAAAGTCCTAAACATATAAATTTGGGCATCCAAGAATAAACTGACACTGCATAATTTTGACCATCACCGCTTTGAACTTTGATTCCTGACTGTACCATAGGAGATGGAAGTACGAGCTATAGGATGCTGTAAAGGCAAGTTCTGAAATATTTGAACAGTTTCTGGATGCCACATCGAGGCTCTGTGCAAACACCAATGAGGAAACCAGACATTTTTAATTCACCCTAGGAACTAGATAATGTACATTAAACAAGGACCTGGAACCATTCACTGAATGAGACAGTTGCACAATTATAGTCGGAATAAGAAAAGGGGCTATTTGGGGTTAAATTGAAAAAACCCATAATGTATGTTACATAATTCAGGCTTGATGAAAACAGACACTTTTACAAATCTCTCAGTATTTCAATTTGAAGCCTTAACAGATTTTAGATACAGTTTGTATCCAAATAGCCAAAACAGCATCACCATGAATTACAAGGATTTCTGTGCAGAGGGTCAGGAACATCTGCTTCTCTGCAGGAGATTACAAATCAGTATCAATGCTATTGCAGAGGGAAGAAAACAATGCAACTCATCCCACATGCCCAAAGTAGGAAGGATTTGGAGGTAATACCACATAGCTAAGTATTTTTAGAGCATTTAGCATGAGAGAATTAAGACCATCAAATAAGAGAGAAGATGCTAAAGGTCCTGTCTACAGGATGGACAAAACCAACAAAGCCGTTCTCACGACCACATCTGCAACAACTCAGAGATGAACACAGCTGTCCAAATTTAGCTGAACTGGGGAGAACAACTCTAGGCTTGACAACATGTGGTCCCTGAGTGGTTCATCCACAGCTGCACCTTTCCTTAGAACAGCTGGCTTCAGCACCTCCTGGGATAGGTCCTGGGAGAGAAAACTCTACTCCACATCTACAGAACAATTCCTGGTTCTTTTATGTAAAACCCTGGAGGAAGCTACAAGAGGCACAGAAATGGCTTGGCTCTCTTCAAACAAGCAGCAGATGTCTTTATGCATGAGCAGTGTGTGGGAGACACTCTCCAGCAAATTGCAGTGCTACAGGGTCTGGCTCCATGAAATTAGAGATTGGATCCGGAGATTAGAAACAACACATGCCACTCAATTAGCAATACACTGGCTGCCAGACAAGCTCTAGGGCCATTTTCCATGATCGTGGGTCTTATCTTCAAAACCCAGCCTCCTCCCACACTTCAGCGCTACCATCACGTTCAACGGTAATACTCAGCCTTCACTACAAATGCCTTGAACTTGAAGGTGTTAACAGTGGGCTTATCTAGTGCCTACTCATTGGAATTTGCCATCATTAAAGGACACACTGAGCATAAGCCATGACTGACACTCCACTCTCAGCTAACATCCGATTAGAAGCTCAGCTAATTTTCTAATAACATCCAATTAGAAGCTCAGCTAATTTTCAGCTAACATTTTCTGCCATGCGTCCTTTGAGAAAGCACATTTCTTCAGAAACGAAGAAACAAGAAGTTGGTTTCCCTCCTCCAAATGAAGGAAATTCTGGAGTGTGAGATGGTCAGAAGGGTGCACAATAATTGCAATGACATCTAGTAGTCCAGAAGGAACTAATAATGACTCTTGAGCTGCAGCTCTGGTATTTCTGGAAGAGTCATGCTCCAGGTCAACATCTCCTGTCAGAACAGTCTTTCATGAAATAAAGACAATTTGGAGAGTTGGGCTGTAGTTTTTTGTTTGTTGTGTATTACTAGTCATGTTTCCTTGGGCAGCTGAAGAACTCAAAGAAGAATGCTGAAAGGTTTCTCAAGCACACCACAGGCTCGTGAGACAGTTTAAGACCTGGCATCAAAGCCTCTATTCTTTACATGACACTGCAGTCATGGTAACTGGCCTTCCTGATCTCTCTCTGACATTAATCAGATCAGATACAGCTATTCTTCACATTTCAATTCATCCCTTAACTTCCAGATTTTCACTTTTCATTGTAATATCATGCTACAGTTTTGTTTTACTCCCTTTGTACCTTACCTGTTAGTATTCTCCAGGACTTCAACCTTCTTGCGCAGCTCACTATTCTCATTTGAACAAGTCTCAACTCTGGAGACAGCACAAGGAAAGAAAGAGGAATGTAAAAAATCAGTCATTTATTAAACTTGCTTTCACAAAGAGCTCTATGATCTTGCCTAGGTTTAATGAAAAGTTACACCAATGAACTTCAGTCATAATCTTTAATCACATTTCATGGTGTAAAACACATTGCAAAAGATACTACCAGCTGTGGAGCACCTGCTTACAGTGCTCAACAACATCCCAGCAGGTGCAGCTCATTCAGGATGGGCTGCAACTACCTTCTGCCCCTCCAAGTAGCAACAGCAAAGACCCTGCTCAGACTTTCTCTGTGCATCAGGCCATGGGACAGATATTTTAAAAGTCACAGAGCATGCTATATTTATGTTGTGAGCAAATATTTTGTGCAAAGGTGTTCAATATGTGAATTTCATTGCATGGATGAGGCACCAAGCAATTTAGTGAATGCCATGCTTCTGAAATCAGATCCTCAAATGTCAGGTTTAAGGAGGTTAATAAGTCAGAAGGATTCATTTCCAAGAGAGTGCTCATTTCCACACTGCCCCTGGAAACCCCCTAAACTAAAGTTGGTTATCATATGATATGCGATTTAAGAGGTCCAAGTAAAAATATGGGAACCCTAAAAAACCAAACATGACCAGCCAGAATAGCTTCAAGAAGGAAAACAGCTTTGGTATCTGTATGTATACAGTGGAATTTCACAAGAGTAACTCTGAGAAAGCAAGACTCATCCATAAAGAGATAAGAAGATAAAAAGGAAATTACATCAAGGATATTACCAAAGACGGCACAAGGGGTTTAACAGATCCATCTGGTGAAGTGCATAAGAGAAACACTAGGATACTTGTCTATTGGAAGAAAGATTAATTTGGGATATAAATCACTAACTGGGGGTTTGGCTTCTTCTCGCTAAAGGAAGTTGATGGGTCACATGCTGTTTTCCTGAATCCTGCTTATTTTCCCAAGCAGCCTTGACTCACCCAGTTCCTATTTCTGTCTCCATCTGCACTAGAAGACAGAATATATGCACTCTGAATCCACCCTTCCCTGGACCCTGCCCACCCACTAGGCCAACAGAGTTGCATGAGGGGAGGCCAAGAGCAGATGGGTCTTGCTTTATTTAAGGTTTAAAGTCTTTGTCGGCATGTTAGCAACGTGTTGCAGGTGGACACAGTTACGAATGCAGCACCCCAGCAAACGTTCAAGCAGAAGGTAGAAGAAGGGGCTTTTCTCAGTCACAACCACGAGATGGCAGCTGGCACCCTGTGCACGAAACAGTCCCAGCATCAACAGCTGGATCCCTTCCCAGTCCAGCAACTAGTGCTATTGGCCCGCTTGAAACAGGAAGGAGGCTGGCTTACTTTTTTTCCAGACTGTCCATGTATTCTTTCTTTTTTCTTCTGCTTTCCTGGGCAGAGATCTAAGGAAAAAGGAAGAAAAACACCAAATATTTGCACAGAATAAAAAGCATCAGAGATGAATTAATAAACTGGTAAAAAGCCCTGACGTTATTAGATTCAAGCCTCTGTGCTGTTCTCATTTCTGTTCCTGGCAAGCAAAGCACTGACTCGGTCTGTTTCCACATCCTGAAGCAAGACTGCTCCTCTCAGTAGTCGGAGAAAGACCAGTCCCTGGTCTTACAGAACTAACCTTAAAAAGTAAATCAGATTCATCTGGAGAGAATATCCTAGGACAAATACTGAAAGATGATCCCAGGACAAGGCCCTGCATCTGGGAGAGGAAAAGCCCATGCATGTGTTAAAAAGCAACTTTGTAGAAAAAAGACTCGAGGGTCCCGATGAACAAGTCAAACTTATGTCAGCAATGTGCCGCTGTAGCAAAGGCAGCCAACAAGATCCGGGTCTACATTAACAAGACTGTAGCTAGCAGGTCAAAAGAAGTGGTTCTTCCCCTCTATTCAGTGCCTACAAGAACACAGTTGACTACAGCGTACAGTTTGTGGCTCTGAAACAAATACTTTGGATGTACGGAAGCAAGCCCAGAGGAGGACCACTACTCTAAGAAGCATGCTGGAGCACATGACGTATCAGGAAAGGCAGAGAAAGCTGGGTTTGTTCAGATTTAAGAAGAGAAGACTAAGGAGGGAACGCTATTGCTGTCTTCAACTATCTTGTGTAGTGAAGATGATGTTAGAGCCTTTCAGAGGCAGACAGCAAAGTGGCAAGCGGCATCAAATACTAGCTGCAACAGGGGAAATTCTAATTAGACGTTAAGAATTCTGCTTATTTGTTTTTACCACAAGAGTGGTCTGATTTGGGAACAGGTTGCCCAGAGATGCTGGGCCCTCATCACCCTTTGAGACAGTAAAACATGACTGGACATGTCCCTGAGCATGTGGCTCTAAGCTGACCCTGCGTTCAAAGGGCCTCCAGAGATCCTCCTCTCCAATATAAATGACTCTCATTATATGAAAGTGGTACATAAAACGCACAAGGCCACTTCCAAAAATTTGGAAAAAAAAAAAACAACCAACATTACAAGATGAAATTCCAATTCAGTGTGGGCAAATCTACACCTCTATCTGAAAACCAATAACAGAATGCATTAACCTTCAAAGATGTGCTCACATCCTCTAAAACAAGTGAGCTGGCCAGGTCTGAAAAAAAACCACCAAACCAAAAACGCTTTCCTCCCTATAACTAGGCTCTTCCCTATGCTGGAAGAAGGAAAAGATTTGTAGGGCATTTCACAGCTTTGGTATCAACCATTCATTTAAAGGTCATGGAATTCAGTGATCAAAAGACTAGGGCACTGAAATACACAGTTGGATTTTAAAACATGAAACAGTGGAAAAGAACACCTTCATCACATGAAAGAATAGAGAGGTCTTTGCCTACCATAAGGGTAGGATTGTACTGTTTTAAAATGGAGCCAAGCAACAGCAACCTGATACCCTTCTTGCTAAATACTCTATTGTTCATGTGTTCAGGTAAATACCTAGACAGAGGCACACTGTCACAGTGACAATTTGGTGGATGTGTTTAGGAACAAAGAAAAACACTTTATTAAAAGACATCTTACAGCATTCAACAGTACCGCAGACCATTACTGCAGAATTGTTGCAGCATTTTTTTTAAATGAAGGATGAGTAGGAACTACCCAGCAAAGCTAACTGACATTCACCTTGTTCTTTATTTTCCTGCGAATTTTCTTCAGCACTTTCTCCTCTGCTTTCGTCAGGGGCAGTTTGGTAGGGATTGGGTACCCCTCTGCTATCAGCGTCCTCTTCTCCTCCTCTGTCAGGATGAGTGGGCCGGTCCCCTGTAATTTCTGCAAGTGTCATAGAAATTAAATAATATAACAGTAAATGCACACAGCCCTAGAAAAAGGGGTGTTAGGGAAGAGAGGCAGCAGCCCTCCCACTTCAGAGAACATTCTGCCTACTAAAACAGCAGCCTCCTGAATTGAAAATGCACGGAAGGGGAAGACCTTTTAGATGGCTTCCATTCAGAGACTGGACCTTTGGGACAGGATTCCCTCAAAACGGTTGTTCTCGGCCCAGCTCTGCATACACTGAGGCCAACAGTAAAATTTCCCTTGGCTCAAACAGG